CTGTAATTCACACACTAACAATAAATAATACTGAAACATATGAATAAACACATCTGCAAGACAAAAATGCATATATATATATATATAATAAAACATATAAAGAACACATAAAAAAACATTAAAAACATTTTCGTTACTTACTGTAAAATTAAATAAGTAAAATATTATAAACTAGCTAGTTACTAAGGCAACATTTCCCATTTTAATTTAGTTTAACTTGATATACTAAAATAAGTCGAATTAAAACTGAAATAAAAAATGATAAAAACTATATAGACAGATCAACAAAACAAAAACTACTAAAAATAATAAAAACATAATAAAACTAAATAAAACTAAAATTAAAAAATATATATATATTAATAAAAACTATACTATATACTTTAATATAATTTTTTGTTTTAGAAAAAAATTTTTAATCAAAAAATGTTAATATCATTTATTTTTATTATTATTATTATTATTTACATAAACACTGTATTTGTAATAAGTTGTTCCTTCTTATCTGGATGTCTTGTTATATAAGTAAATTGTTTGTGTTGTTTATTGAGCATAATAATAAAAATGAGCAAGCTGCATTACTTTTGTTATTTAATTTTTGTAATAGTATATTTAAATATAGTTATTTAATGGTTAAAGACTGTCAAAGAAGCATGAATGATTTATTCCAGTACCTAACAGGAAACGTGTAGAAATGTCAAATGTGACCCAGGAGCACAAAATCAGCCATAAGCGTAAATTTTTCGAAATTGAGATGTATACATCATCTGAAAGCTGAATAAATAAGCTTTCCATTGATGTATGGTTTGTTAGGATAGGACAATATTTGGCTGAGATACAACTATTTGAAAATCTGGAATCTGAGGGTGCAAAAAAATCTAAATATTGAGAAAATCATCTTTAAAGTTGTCCAAATGAAGTTCTTAGCAATGCATATTACTAATCAAAAATTAAGTTTTGATATATTTACGGTAGGAAATTTACTAAATATCTTCATGGAACATGATCTTTACTTAATATCCTAATGATTTTTGGCATAAAAGAAAAATGTATAATTTTGACCCATACAATGTATTGTTGGCTATTGCTACAAATATACCCCAGCGACTTAAGACTGCTGTTGTGCTGCAGGGTCACATATGTGGCTGTAATGTGGTGTAATGGAGAAGCTGCTCTCTGCCCCGCAGCGGCCCGATCCTGGAGCCCCGAATCCTGCTGGTGTCCCACGACCTTCCCAGCAGACTCTTCCAGCACTGGAGCTACACGCTGCTGCATGAGTGTGACAGCCAGCGGACGCTCGTCTCAGACGAACAGAGCCCAGAGGAACTCGTGAGAGACACCCTTCATCAGATCCTGCGGCTCGGACGCCTCCTGCTCAACAAGACACAACAGATCACGGTACAAATACTGTACATTTGTGCATAAAGGTTTCTCTGTCATTGCTCAGGATTTCGTTTCTCTGTCTCTCCTAAAGTTCCCCAGGAGAAAGAAGAGTTGGACTAAATAGTTGAAAAACATAGTTTATAAAGCGGATAGTTCCGGTGCTTGATTCTGATTGGCTGAGCCGCGTTCGAAGCTGTTGTAAATGACTCTACAAAGTAACATACACCTTTGTTTACGTTTGTGTGTTGCTCGGCAACCACTTTGTAGCAACCACAACTGTTTCTGAGGAGCTACATTGTTTGGTGGAAGAATACTGTTTTTATTAATATCATTACACTTTATTTGCTCTGTTTTATTTTGTGAAACCTTACTACATATATGGAGTAACCGTTTTATAAAAGCAATAATCCCCGTGAAGCCGTGGTTTACAGTGAATTTATAACAGCTAAGGGGTTTTAACAGCTAACAACGCCCCTTAGCTGTTATAAATTCACTGTAAACCACGGCTTCTTGGGGCTTATTGCTTTAATAGAGCTATAGAATTATTGTGAACAGATTTGATCTGACGAGAAACATTTGAGTTCAAATTAAGATCTCTGACTTTTGATGAATATCAGCACATTCAAACCTAGAATGATAAACTATGAACATAAGAGAATAGTGAACTCAACACCACAACTATATTGATAGCGACAATGCGGAATGATATCGCTGGAATCACCCATATGGCAAATTATTATTTTTTTGGCCAAAATATATTTGAAATAATTGTTAAATATATGTTTTAAATAGTGAAGCTCAATTAAATATATTTTTTTAAATTGAAAATATATTTAGTTTAAATCTTCATATACCAAAATATATTTCAAAATGTATATTTGGGACAAGAAAACAATTTTCCAAACTTACAGTATAGCCTATATTTATAAAAAAAAAAAATTAATAAA